CAAAAAGGGGTAGTTCTTGGAAAATGTTTATTCTGATGAGGCAAGTGCTGGCGGAGGATTGCATCTGGAATGGTTATTTCCCAAAAGCTGATATTTTTAATACTAAATTATCTCTCTTTCGATTTACAATTGCACTAGGAAACTGAAATTTTCAATTGTTTGTAAAGATCTTTTACTTGTACTGAATCCTTTTTACCAATTAACTTAGTATAATTCGTTCTGCAACGAATATTTACTAGAAAACGCAGTAAAAAAATCTTTATGAGTAAATATTTGAATTAACAAAATAGGACCCAGTTATCAAAACCATTTTCTTCAATATTATATATATATATATATATATATATATATATATATATATATATATATATAATATGTGTGAGTGTAAGTTTAGTAAGCCTAACTTTAATAGATTTTGAGAATCAGACTCAAACTGTTAACCTTGCTAGGATGGCGTATTCCGTATTCCCTAACAGGTATTTACGAAATATTTATTATAATACATCTTCATTGCAACAAGAGTTACAACAGATATTACAACAACAGTTTCAAGAATTACCAAACAAGGCGTTAGGATAATTATTGTTCTTTTAATTATACACTCACACTGTCATTAAGTAAGTTTTCACTCTCATTGATGAAAATACAGTTACAAAGGACATAGCGTACAAGGTTTCTTCTCCATCCACAAGCACACAATTAAGTTCAATGTAATATTGTTTATTATGTGAAAATTTTTATATTTGACGTTTCCCACTAACACACTGTAGGTATTTTCATGTGATGAAAATGTTACCCACGATGATGAAAAAATATCAGAAAAACTTTCATACTATACTATTGAAAATATTATGTACTGAGAACTGAAATAATTCAAAACGATGTGATCAGTAGACTAATACTTGTTACCAATTAATTTTTATAAATGTGATATTACTCGTATGTGAAAAATATTAGCGAATATGTATTTAAATTAAACTGCATTCCTCGTTGTAATGTTATCGTTGTGAATTGAGCGAGCAATTCCTGTAATGTGTATATTATATCACATTCCTTGAATCGTTTAATCACATAGCTGTGTTTGAAACGATCTAATAAATAGTTGACTCTGTAAAATGCATTTCACATGCTCTAGAAATTAATTCAATATTTTTGTTTTCCGTTTGATTTCTTCAAATCATTTCTGCTTGTATTCAAAAAACAAAAAAGGAAACATCACACTGAAGATATACATTTTCACCTTTGTACAGGCTTGACTGAAACCGACATTTTCGATGTCATTTTCTCGACGATGTATATTTCATAGATTTATGTGTAAGTCATAATATTTGTTTGCTTTGCTATTTGCATATGCTAAGTGACCTCAGTTAGTGATTTATGATCAACAATGAAGAAAGGAAAATGGAGCTACATATAAAAATACTTTTCCTATGTAGAGTATTGAAGTTAGTCTTATTTCATAATCAATAATTTGGTCAATTCAGTTTCAGAAAAGTGAAAAAATATTTGATTGATTAAAGTTCAATACTCTTCTCGCTTCTTGCTAACATAAATTGCAAGGTTTGGTCATGACGACGCTCCCCATGCATTGCTGTGACAAGAAACACTGCATTTCTTTTCTTGGTCCTTTACTTTTGGGAACAGTCCAACACATCCTTTGAGCATTGCGGATATATAATTTTAAATATGGTCGTCTATCAACTTAATATATTTGACGAATAATGGAGTTAATTTAATGCTCACGTTCGAGTCCCGATGGTAGCAGGATTTTCGATACAAGCTAGATAGCTAAGTCGAATTCAATCTCTGTCTGGAGGAGAATTCTAGCGGCCGGTTGCTCTGATCGGTAGTTTTCAGTGGTTTCTCCGATCAATGCTAATTCGGGAACATAAAAAATTGGCCACGGACCGCGCGCGAACTTTCCTTCGTATATTTGAAATAGTATACGACGTTGTTCAAAAGGAAGCCTACAAATTCAGCCACCGTTTCATTTTTGATTGACTGCATTGATGTTGTAATCGGGCAGAGCATTATTAGTGTTGGAAATGTGAATTTAAATAAATCTGAAGAATTTATTGAAATATGTATTGAATTACTGTAAATCCAGAAAAAAACGAAATGTCATAAATCTATTGATTCAAGTGAGACTTCATTGGCAAAAACATTACAAAATATTTTTTAGTAAAATCCGAATCTGAAAACAAAAAATACGAATACTTTGGAATTCACATAGACATATTTTTGATTGGTTGACACTACTTGTATCGGTGGGCCAGCCTTAAAGACGGCTTCAATGTATTACTCGCTCTTTATTTTCACAGTTCATGCACTTCGAAGAAGGCTGAAAAATATATTCTTTGCCCCAATCTCACTCTTAAAGTACAAATAGGTCACAATTTCTTCACGTAGAAATATAGAAATGGTAATTTATTGCATAAGACAAGATGATAAATATGTAGTACTTTAAGGAAGGAAAATATTACCTGACTGGTGGTATTTTCATTCCCGAGTTGATAACGTATTTTATATGAGAGGAAAAATCTATATTTTAGTTTGCGGGTAGAAAAGGTTGCGACACGAGGCCGACAGGCCGAGTCGCGCAATCTTAAGAGGAAAATAAAATCACGTTTACCACGTATTTCATAAAGTATATTTTAGATAGGCTTACTGACTTTCGTTTTATTTTTATTCAAGTTTAGAAATCACTTAATGATACATTTAGGTCAGTAATTGCTGACACTGCCAGATCAAATTCTTTTGTTTTGTTCAGATTTATCTGAACACTTGAACATCGTCTCACTTTTGACAATAGTGCTAAAAATTGAACTTCTATCACGCTGCGCATTCTTTGAATGAACTACTGTAGTTAATGGCTGTCTCAAAAATATATTTTTTCGGCTTCGAAAATCCTACAGAAACTGTAGGATTCTGAAACTACATCAATAAAATAACATACGTCATTAAACAATTGCCGACAGTACGTCGATTTTATTTACTATTAACACAGAAAACCAGAATTAATAATCGACAAACGAAACATTGCAAAACATAAATGTAACTAATCATTACACAAATAAACACTTATGAATATTGAAAATGAAATGTTCAGTTCGAAAAATTTGTAAAAGATAAAACAGAACTTCCGAAAACTGTTGTTTCATTTGTAGTAACAAAATGTAAATTGAAATTAACTTCTTCCCACAGCACGTCATACATAGTTTTTAACTATTTTTGACGTAAATAAATAAATAAGTATGAGCTTGTGAAGATTCGCCTATGTTCGGCGTCTTTCCTCCAGATACAATTGTCCTGGCGACTCTAATCTTATTTGCTACTGACTCATCAATGTATTGTTCTGATACACCAGTTGCACGCCATTCGTATTTTTATCTTCCACCCAAGTTAAAAATTTATCATATTCTTTTTTATAATTTTCATCTTATTTTCTAAGTATTAGTGACATTTCTTCCTTAACAACTTCATTAATTATAGTGTCTGGGAAATCCATTTTACAACGAACAATAAACAACACAGCCGCCCCTATTTTAGTCGGCCTTGGCCCTACATTATGTACGTAGCATACCATTTTACTTCCAGGTTAAGTAACCATTTTACCGTAGTAATAATTGTATAATGATGTTATTCAAAAATTGAGCATGCTATTCGTTTATAATGTAACTTTTTTCACTCATAAGAATAGCCGAATTCAGTCCTTCGTCGTTCATGCGGCAATTCTTATTCGTGCAAAAAATAACATTATAAACTAATCGCATAATATACCATTATCTCCTGGGATTACATTAAGTCGAAATTTGCAAACTAACACATGCATTGTAATAATTCTAATAATGGACTCTCAATTTTTGTTAAAATTAGTCTGTCAATTTTTGCAATTTCTATGGTCAAACAAAGAAACATTGCAAATTTATAGTATATGTCTTTGTATAAGTCCATTTAATTACATCACATCAGATTTTTCACATAAACTCAACAAAAAAATTAAAAACCTGTCTGCTTGGAGAGAAGACTAGTGATCTGGCGCCAACGACATAGGCAATCTGCCATACAGCAATGTATCGAGTATTGTCTCGTCAGGGGCCAATGCCATCTTATCTATCAATTACAATTTAGCTGAATTTAAAAAAATAATGTGACGAAGTTAAATGGACTTCGTATTCGGTTACAGTGGCCCCCGAAACATGCAGATAACATGGTCTGGCCCCTCGGTTAGAAATTTCTTTGATTTTTATATTTTTGAGGTTATGCCAAAAATCTTATGGAGAGAGTAAAATTAGCATCAGATTCGGATTTAGCGATCTCAACAACATTTAGAAAACATTATATGTTCCCCAGACATGATTATGATGATGGTTTTGAAAGATAGTGTAATTAATATTGTCAGATGAAAACGCAAATATGATACGAACAGCGAATTCCCGCAAAATAAAACAGCTATCCAAAATAATGCATAATTCATTCCACCCGCCACTCATTATTTTCATAAGGTCTAAATTCGGGTGAGCGTTGAATCCATATTCCACGCACTCTTCTCCTCCGCGTCCTAACGCTCAACTCCAACACACTTTGGTTTTTCCATTTGTATCCCTTCCAACCGAACCATCCCCACCGTCAGTACCTGGCGCCGCCGCTAGGGGCAGCACGGGCGTCGACAGTAGCGCGCCCAGCGAAGTGGCACGCGTCGGCGGTCGCTCCCGTCATGCTTCTGCTCATTAGCCGGGATTGGGTGGTGGCAGCAGTGGCGGCGGCGGCGGCGGCGGCGGCGGCGGCGGTGCGAACTTTAATTAAAATACTTGTCTAATGGGTGCGCCGCCCCTCCGGCCTCACGCGCACCAGCCTGCGCCCGCGTGAAAAATTTATACGTCCGCATAATTAGTCACAATAGGAAAATTACAAGCGCGCGAAGGAGTGAAATTATCTCGGTGTTAATTGTGCCTCCCTCCCTCCAGCATTTTTTCACTCTTTTCTTTTTTGTTTGATAGGTTTCCCGGCCTGACACCACTAACGAGCGGAGGGAGAAGCGATTTCGACGGCGGCAGCGCTGCTGTGTGCCCGGGACTTCCCCGAGGTACGTTCATTGGTGCCACGCTTATCATTTTGCAATTTGTGAATGGGAAAATTGAAGTGCAGCTAAGTGCAGTGGGACACGTTGATGTTTGAAATACAAAAAATAGTTTAGATGGTAGTTTTACGGTGCAAAGCGCCATTGTTTGATTCAAGCGATCAATAACTTGCTACATTCCCGCACATCGTTGAGATAAACGTTGTTTGAGTACTGGAATGGTAAGTAAATGGCTCGCATCAATGTTTCATTGGGACCATTACAAAAGATGAGGCAGTTTTTGGACTCGTACTACGATAATTTTATCAGCAATTCTGGCGTTATCTCTTTATTTCATGGATCTGCTATCTCTTTGCTTCCTGTTCAATAACGTTTAGATACGATCAATGAGTTTTATTCGAATGCAGCAGATATCGCGCAATAATGTAATAGAATCCTGTTCTCGGACGTACGCTTAAGAAATTATTTCGTTTTGTGACATATCTAGCCGTTGGGTTTATTCCGGTTATGCGTGTTGAAGCTAAATCAGTAGCTAACAAGCGAAACGAAGTAGTTTTTGTCAACGCTCTAGACATTTGGGACGATCACTACCTACAACTAGTGAGAGAACCCCACCGCTGTTACCTGTAACGCTGTTTTCCCTCTTTCCCGTAACTCACCCAATTACGGAAAGCGAGAGGAAACGTTGTTTTGCCTCGCTACCCACACGAGCAGTTGCACACATTCCTATACGTTTGCGCACGTGCAGAATCGTTTGAAACGTCCGCTGGCCCATGTGTCGCTTTCCACGCCCCACAAAAACCGCTCACCCGGCTCCCGGTTTACCGCGTCCCGCCGGTGGCGCCGCCGCCGGCCGCGCAGTGAAACACGTTCGCGGGTTCTTGCGTCCGCCCCGCCGCCATCCCAGCGCCGGGGTACCGCGCGGTCGTTCTATCTCGGCCAACAGGTGTGCCGCAGGGTTCGGTTTGATTTTAACTTTCTAATTATAATTTCTAATTAGTTAGGCAGGCGTTGACCGCGAAGAGGCGGAAAATATTGACAAAACAACTCCCCAATTACATTACTACTGGAGTACAGCAACATGTGTGTGTGTGTTTGTGTTGGTTTGGGTATATGTGTGTGTGTGTGTGTGTGTGTGTAGGGAGTGCTCAGAGCTCCACATTTCTATCTGCGGTGCTTTGCGGAAGTTAATGAGCTCTTGATGAAACTGCCTTGTGACTGGCTCTGCGTCTGGAACTCTTGCCGTGTTGAGAATTTCCTGAATAAATTCCGGGAAAATCGTCTTTGTTTACCTAATACCGGTGGCGCCGTCAGTCGCTTCATTTAAGTCAGCCGCCGCCGCTTAATTTGAATAGAGCGCAGGCCTGAGACTTCAACAGCTTTTCTCTCGTTCGCTCGGCGCACCGCAGGTTCGTTTTGAAAACATTATCCTTTCGCGGGAAACACTTAAATTTTGTTTTTAAAACGTTTGGGTTATTTAACTCAACGTGTTTGAGGCTTAATATATCTTGGAGACAAGTGCCATTTGGAAAGAGTTTCAGTTGTAATTTTTGGTTACATAGAGTTAAGAAATACATTTTTGCTCCGTTAACAATATATTGTACACATTTGCAGATTTTACGTAGTATTTAATTAAGGTTTCGTTTATCAACACCAAATTCGAGTAAAAGGAAAAAAAATTGGATATGTTTCTTCTCAATAAGTAGATCAGGAATAATTTCATTTTCGTTTTCATCATTACCATCGTCTTAGTATCACACCAAGATGATGCTATAAGATATACGTGTATATGATTGCTCAAATATTACTACGATTTTGATACTATAGTTGCTGCAATGGCTGGAATATGGAAATGCAATTATGTAATATTTATCTGCATTTCCCATTAGGGACTAATGCCCATAGCAATTGAGGCGCCCGAAAACAAACCAAGCAATCCACAACATTCTACAAGGATTCGAGCCGGCGACCACTGACTGACTACTTGAACGTCCAGTCACCATCGCCATCAAAGGTAGTGATACTACAATTGCCACATTGCTTCTTGAAACTTTCCACTCCATTTTCCACAAACACGCAAGCATTTTTTCATAACACTCGGTTTTCCGCATACCTATTTGTGAAGCAGACTGTCTCTCCCTTGTGCGTAAAGCGAGCCCAGTCCCTCAACAGGCGCGTGAGCGCATTAACTCTCTCAAAGCAAACGCGGCACTGCAATCCAAAAAATTCTACATGTATTCGATCCTTCGACCACTGACCTACCTACCTGAACGACTACCCACCACCGCCACCAAATACAGCGACACTACAATTGCCACAATGGTTCTTGAAACTTTCCACTCAATTCTCCGCTAATACGCAAGCATTTCTTTCATAACGCCCGGTTTTGCGCCTACGTGAAGTTATCCTATTCGTGAAGTATACTTTCCCTTCCTTGTGCGTGAAGCGAGTCCAGTCCCTCAACAGGCGCGCGGGCGCCGCAATTCTCAAAGCGAGCGCGACCCCGCGAGGGCCACGCCCCTCCGCGCGCTCGCCGCCGCGGCGCGGCACGGCGCGCGTATTCACGTGCGCGCACAATTCATTCGGAGCGGAAGCGCAGGTCAGCGGCCGAACGCGGCCGGCGAAAATTCAACGCCCCCATAACTCGGCCGCGTGGGGGCGGCGCCGCTCCGGAAATGGCCAGCAGACGCCTGCTCGCGCCCGCAGGGGAGGCTGAAATGGCTGAGAGTGGGCGGGGGTGGCTGGGGGGAAAGGAGAGGTAGAGGAAAGTAGAGTTAAGGGTGCTGAATTGTGCAGAATGGTGAGGAATAGGGGGTAGTGGTGGTCGATTGATTCGGTGAATATTCCGAGCACGCTCTCCGCTGTGGTCGTTGGTCCCGTTGAAGTATGAAGGAAATGTTTTATCGCGGGAGGTGGCGGTGTTCCTCCCCCGCTGGATGGAGAGTTCTGGTGCTGAAATGCACATCGAATTATGTCGGTTTTCTTTCTCCAACGGACCGCCATCGCACCGGGGACACGCTCTATTCTCCTGACGTAATTGTAGTGTAGTGCGTGTAAGTGCAAGTGGTAAGAATAGGTCAAGTTAGAGAATGCGAGGATCGTGAACAGTCCGTGGTCCGATTGTGAGAGTACTGCTCCGATATTATTGGTCGGAGAAACCAATTACCGATCGATCAGAGCAGCCGGTCAATAGAATTCCAGGCAAGAACTGAAAGGATCTGAATTTCTAAGAGTTGAAAATCCGTCATCGTTTGGTGCTCCCGATGAGAGCAAAACACAGAACATATGATAGTGAAGAAGAAGCCGCAGACGGAGACTGTGGCCCGATAGCTGAGGTTAGCGGTGAGGTTAGGTGGTGTAGGTGGTAGGAATGACGGAATACTGGAGTTAGGGAAGTGAGGCGGAGAGGCGAGGCGGCTGAAACGGAGCACATCTCGGTGCGGTGGGACGATAGATTGAATAGTAGAATTACTGCAAACGATGATATCGATTGGGACATGACATGCTTCTCAAGGCGTAGTCATTGAGATTCAGCAGTGGCAGCTGAAATGACTTCGGGGATGATGCCACTGTATCAGCGCGTAGGTGTCGACTGCACTCGGTGGTACGTAAGCGTGAGTTGAGAGGACGGTGCGGTGGTGCCGTGGTCAAAGTAGCAGGTGGTGAAGTGAAGGTGGAAGCAGAGCTGTGGGAGAGGGATGGGTTGAGAAGGCGGCGGAGGTGGCAGGGGTCTGACGGTAACTGGATCGTCGGGGAGAAAGATTGCACGAGGCTGGGGAAGTGGAGATAGGTGGGAGGTTGCGCGCACGGCGCAGGCAGCAGCGGACCGCGAAAAGCAGGTGCTGCGTACGCAGGATGGAAGTGCCAGCGAGAGAGGTGGTCAGTGGAGAACGAAATAGCAATCGGCGGCGGAGGTGGTGTAAAGGTTAGCGTATCGGACTGTTATACCCTAGTTCAAAAGCTCAAAGCCGACTGAAGCCGTGGATTTTTAACCGCGAAAAAATCCTTCGTACGCCTTCCTTGAGTGAGGAAGTAAAGCCGACTGTCCTATGTTCGTACATATTCTGCATATAAAAGATCCTCAAGCGTAAATGAGCTAAATTCAAATCACCTGTTTCGTCACTTCGTCACCCAAGAAACACCTCCTTTCTAGTCTTTCTCTAGTTGGTGAAAGAAGCGTACCGAAATTTGCGTGGTCAGACGGAAGAGCAGGATGGGCCTGGATCAGTGTAATGTTGGAGGTGGTCGGTAAAACTGTGATGTTGTGTGAGGAGGTTGCGGGAACGAAGGGAATGGAAGGAAGACAGGGACTGGATGCACGGTGGGCATGGGTAGCGAACTACGTGGGTTGGGCGATAAGGATTCCGAGGAAGGAGGGCCGCTCAGATCGGCTGAAAATAGCAGCAGGATTGGCAGTGGGAGAGAACGTACAGGCGGGAGGCGGGAGGGAAGCCGGTGGTGTCGTTTAGAGCGGCTGAAGGAAGTCGGCAGGGCACTAGAGGAGACGAGTGTTCTTGTGGCGTTGAGGAAGCAAAGTGAGGGGTGAAGGTGGTGAAGGTAGCAGATTCGATCGGCAAGAAGGATGAAAAAACAACGAAAGAGATGGCGTCGGGGCGAAAGAGCGAGTAAAACAGGTGACGGGGCTCTGTGTGGAACGTGCCGTTAGATAACTCGCCTTGATGTGACAGGAGATGGACAGCAAAACGGCAGTTAGGGATTAAGTAGCGTATGAAACATGTGGGAGCGAAGCAATGCGCTGGGTGGAATTTGGTACAGGTAGCAGTAGTGACGGGCCGGACAAGCCATGTGCAAGTAGCAACGGAATTCTACAGGATGTGACGGCAAGAAGGACAGTGATGCGAAGGAATACTAAATCGGCAGGGACGAAGGAAAAACAACAGGAAAAGGTGACAGAAGGCAAAGAACGCGTATCTGTAACCGCGTAACTGTAACGCGTAACCGCGTGTGGTGGAGGGTGGGGGCGTGGCGCAGAAGGTCGCGCCGTGTGGTGGCGGACAACGCGTTGGGCGGCGGCAGAGGCGCGAGCGCGCGGCCGGGGGAACCGGGGTCATCCTCATACATCGATCTCCCCGCCGAC